CCTCTTCATTCACTTGTAAGTTACATTTTCTTTTTAGTTTTCATTATTTCATATTCTTTTTAGATGTCATTTTTTTTACGTTCATTCTTTCTTCCCCCCTCCCTGCGCACACACTTCTTTCTTCTTTTTTTTTTCTTTTTTCGATGCCAATTTTTTTTTTTTTTTATTCCTTCGAGGCAATTGCTAGATATCCTCCACACAAGCAATGGCATGATTTTCCGGCAACGAAAGCCGAAGTCTCGATCGTTAACTCACTACCTCCGTGTGTGCGTAGCCGGGTGGGTCGATGTTAGGAATGGCATTTTTATTTATTTGTTTGACCTCTCACCCTTTCTTTTGTGAAACAAGAGTGATATGAAATTAAAGGATAGAGGAGAGAGTGAGAGATAACGTGAAAGACAGAGAGAGAGGGAGAGAGGCAGAGAGGCAGAGAGGGCTGGGGAGACGCTACCAAACGGGAAAAAAAAAGAAAAGCAATATACTGAGAGTATTTCATATTTGTTTTCGTCTAATAATTCCACTTTCTACCACATCTCGTTTTTTTCTTTTTCTTTTTTCTTTCGGACTTTTTTTTTTTTGGCAATTGGTTATTTTGTTTTCCTCTTCCTTTTTTTGTCGTCTCCCCGCGTTTTTACGTTTTTCTTTCTTTTTTAATTGTTTTTTTTTTATCCTCCCCACTCTATATTTTTTTACTTCAATTCTTTTTTAAATTTCCGTTCCTTTATCTTATTTCTAGACAGAATATATATATATATATATATATATGTGTGTGTGTGTGTGTGTGTGTGTGCGTGTGTGTTTATGTGTATGTGAGTGTAAATATTTTCAGGTGGAATGTATCTGTAGAAGAGACAAAATGAATAAAAAAGACACAAGAGGGAAAAACTAGGCGATGTATAGTTTTTTTTTCTGTTTTATATATATATATATATATATATATATATATATATATATATATATGTATATATATATATATATATATATATATATATATATATATATATATATATGTATATTGTAAATATAAATATATATATATATATATATATATATATATATATGTATATTATATATATATATATATATGTATACAATATACATATATTTATATATATATATATATATATATATATATATATATATATATATATATATATATATATTCTATTTTAAAATCCTCATTTTAAATATCTGTCTTACCTTTCTTTCTTTTATGTGTTCTTTTTTGACTTTTAGTACTTTTAGTATTCGGTCTGAATGTTTTTCTGGTCTTTTAAGTTTTTTTTCTTTTTCTTTCTTTTTTTTCTCCTCGCTAATATGTATTACGACTTCCTCAGATAACTTTCGATGTGTCAGAGTTCAAAGAGAATTGGATTCATGCCTTTCTTAGCGTAACTAATATAAAATGAACTTCACGTGCCGAGCTGTTTCCAGTGATGGCAAATATTCTTCGATATTCGTCTGCATGCATCTATCTTAGATTATTTCTTTTTTCTCTATCTTTCTTTCGTCCGTTTTTTTTTTCTATTAATTATCTTGCATATTTTCTGTTTTTTTTTTTATTCTGAAATTCTTTTCTTTCTTTTCTCAAATTTCTTTCATTCTTGATTTCGTTCTTTCGATCTTTCTTTCTTATTTATATTTTTCTTTTAATTATCCTGAATTTTTTTTTTGCTTATTCTTAAATTCCTTTCTTTCATTTCTCATATCTTTTATTTATTTATTTATTTATTTATTTATTTATTTATTTATTATCTGTTTTTCTTTTAATTATCTTGCATGATTTTCTTTATTTATTCTGAAAGTCTTTTCTTTCTTTTCTCAAATGTCTTTTAAATATCTTGCATGTTTTTCTTTTCTGAAATTCTTTTCTGTCTGTCCTGAATTTTCTTTCCTTCCCGAAATGCCTTTCTTTCTTTCTTTCTTTCTTTCTTTCTCATGCAATTTTTTTTTTCTTCCGTTTTTCACTTCCTTCTTCATTCTACAGGTCAATACTTCACACTTCATTTCTTTTGTTCCTTTTTCCTGATCTTCCATTTTGATTCCTGTTTTCTTTTTCCTTGATCCCCAATCATGATTATGTCTTTCCTTTTCTCCCGTCTTTCCTTCCTTCCTTCCTTCCTTCCTTCCTTCCTTCCTTCTCTCTTTCTTTCTTTCTTTCTTTCTTTCTTTCCCACTTCCAATTTACTTTGGCTTCTTTATCCTGTCGTTTCTTTTCTTTTTTTCTTATTGAATCCTTCCTTCTTCTCTTGCTTTTTTTACTCCTTCCTTCTTTTTTTTGTTTCTTCTTCCACCAATTATTATGTTTTCTTCCTCATAGAACACTTCATTAATACTCCATTCTTTCATATACCTCCCCCTTTCTCTTCCTCAAAATGCTTTTACGCCTTTTTCCTTCTCCCTTGGAAATTATTAATTTCCTTCACATTTGCAATTTTCATTCGGCTTTCCTATTTATCTCTCTCTCTCTCTTTCTCTCTCTTCTTTACTTACTATTAGAAATCGTCTTTCTTTTCCTCTATTCTGTGAAATTTTATTGCTCTTCATTCGCGCCATTCCCAGTAATAATTCTTCCTTCTTTCTTTTCCGTATTCCTTAAATCTTTACTCTTTATTTCCTTTCTTTCTCTACTCCCAGTTTTCCTGCTTTCAATTTTATGTTTTCATTCTATTACTTTGTTTTTTTTTCACTCGTTCATTTTTCATCCTTCATTTCGTTTCACTAATCCGTATTTTCTTCTTTTTTCTTTCCTTTCTTCTTACTTTTCTTTCTTTTTTTTCTTTCACTTCTGTTTTTTCTTATTCGTACCTGATTTATATCTTGTTCCCATTTGCTCTATTCGTTTCTTTCTTTCATTCACTCATTCGTTCATTCTTTTTTATTCTTATTTCTAATTCACCAAAATTACAGTTGTTTCTATTTGATTTTTTTCACTTATTCCTTCACATTTAGAGTCTTTCTTTCTTTCATTCACTTTTCCATTAATTTTTTTTTCTCTCGGCCAACATTTCCTGTTTGTATAGAATTTACCACTTATTCCTACTCATTTTCATTCATTTTATTCATTCATTTATTTTTCTTTATTTTCATCATCTCTCTTATTCCTACTCTTTTTCTTTCTTTCTTTCTTTTCCATTTTAATTCTTTCTTTTCCTCAATTAACTTTTCGTAGTGGAATATGATTTCTATCTTATTCCGAATTTCTTTCCTCTTTCTTTTTCTCTTTCTTTCCTTCTTTCTTTCACCCTTTTTTCCTTCTTTCTTTATCTCTTTCTTTCCTTCTTTCTTTATTTCCTAGTCTCTTTCTTTCTTTTTCCTCGCCAAACATTTCCTATTACAACCTGAGTTCTCTCATATTTCTGCTCACATTTTACTGTCCTTTTTCATTCGATTATTCATTCATTCATTTATTCATTCTTTCGTTCGTTCTTTCAATATTTTTCTTTCTTTCTTTCTTTCCTTCCTTCCTTTATTTATTTATTTATTTCCTATTATCTTTCTTTCTTTTTCCTAAGCAAATATTTCCTATTTCGATTTGAGTTCTCTCTTATTCCTACTCACTTTTTTCTATCCTTTTTCATTCGCTTATTCATTCATATTTTCGTTCGTTCTTTCATTATTTTTTCTTTCATTCTTTCTTTGTTTGTCCTTACCTAGCTTTGTACATGATCTGTATATATATTTCTCTTTTGTCTCTATTACATTTCATTTATTCATTATTTCATTCAATCATTCACTACTATTTTTATTTCTTTCATTCATCCTTTCTTTGTTTCTTTTGTCTTTCTTTCTCTCACGGCTATAATTTTCTTGGCGGCACTTGTGACTCCGGACCTACGGTTTTTTTCAGTTTATCCAAGTCTCCTTCTATATAAACACCTCACAGCTGCATATAACACTTGCACGCTCAAAATATGCGTGTGGGTGTATACTGACTCCAATCAATACAACATTGCCTCGCATTCGCTGTTGTTTCTTTAATTCCTACATCAATTCTTCTTCAACTTCTCTTTTAGATTCTTCCTTCTTGTGTCTTTTCTCTCCTCCTCCACCACTACCACCACCTATCCTACCCGCGCCCCCAAGAGTCAACGTCGGCGGCGGTGTTTCCATCATCAATAGCGCTTCTGTTGCTGCTGCTGCTTGTTGTTGAAGATGCCTCAGTTGTATCATACCAATACGCAGTTGCACTTGCAATACCCAATACTCATCCACACATATACATTCAGCGTCTCGGTCAAATACAGAACGATTCTTCCTCTCCTCTTGCTCTCCATATTCGTCTTTTAGTTATCTATTAAATTTTCATTCTTGTTTTTATGCATATATATATATATATATATATATATATATATATATATATATATATATATATATATATATATATATATTATTCATTTCTTTCTGTCTTTTCGTTATATAGATTTCTTTTACTTTGGCATGATGGCGTGAATTTTATCTCTTTCTTTTTTTTCTTTTGCATTACTTTTTTTATTTTCATTGTCCTATTTTAACTATATGTTCGCTTTTCTTCTTGGTTTTCGTTTCTTTCTTTATCACTATCGATTCTTTCTTACATTCTTTTCTTTCTTTCTTTCTTTCTTTCATTCATATGATCGTTCTTACGTTGATTCATCTTCTTCCATTTCATATACTGTTTCTTTCATTCATTATCACAACCTTTGTTTCGTTCTTTATTTTATTCATTGTTTCTTTAATTTCCTTTTTCTTTCATTTATTGTTTTTTTCTCTCAATTTCCCAATCATTCTTTCTGTCTTGTTGCGTACAACTCCTTTCATTCAGTAATTATTTAATTCATTCTTTCTTTTTGCGTCCATATCCACTCATTCATTACTTTCTTGTCACTTTTATTCATTCTCTCTTTCATACTTTTAATGTCTATCTACTTTTTTAATTACACCTTTATTTCCTTCTTTTTGCATCCATATTCTTTCATATTTTCATACTAATTCATTCCGACTCTCTGTCATTATTTTTTCATTTGCATCTACGTCCGTTATTTGATTCTTTTCTTCTTCCATTATTTGCTTTGCATTAACCTGTTTTCATTCAGAAATAACTACTTTTTCTTTCTTTCGTACTTTCTTTCTTTCTTTGATTTAGATTTTGTTCCTTTAATTATTACCAGTTAATTCCTTTATCAACTCCTTTCATTTATGTATTAATTAATTCTTTCTTCATGCATTTGATTTTTGCGTCCGCAGTCTTTCATCCATGAATTACTTCTTTTTTTCATTTCTTTTTTTTCCTTTTTGCGTCTCCTTATTTCATTCATTAATTACTTATTTCATTTCTTCTTTCTTTTGTCTTTTTGCATCACCCACATTTCATCCATTAGTTCTTTCTTTCATTCTTTCTTTCATTCTTTCTTTCATTTTCCTTTTTATGTCCCTCTCATTTCATTCATTAATTACTTCTTTCTTTCATTCCTTTTTCTTTCACCTTTTTGCGTCCCCTCATTTCATTCATTAATTACTTCTTTCTTTCATTCTTTCTTTCATTTTCCTTTTTACGTCTCTCCTCATTTCATTCATAATTACTTCTTTCATCCATTCTTTCTTTCTTTTTCCTTTTTAAGTCCCCCTCATTTCATTTATTAATTAGTCCTTTCTTTCAACCCCTTTTTTCTTCTACCTTTTTGCTTCCCCTCATTTCATTCCTTAATTAATTCTTTATTTCATTCTTTCTTTCATTTTCATTTTTACGCCCACCCCCATTTCATTTATTAAAATTTTTATCTCTTCATTCCTTCTTTTTTCCTTTTTAAGCCCCCCCCCCATTTCATTGATTAATTTTTTTTTTTTCCTTCTTTCTTTTTCCTTTTTACATCTCTCCTCATTTCATTCATTAATTACTTCTTTCTGTTATTTCTTCTTCCGTTGTTTTTCCTTTTTACGTTTCCCCACATTTCATTCATTAATTAATTCTTTCTCTACATCTTCTTTATTCTTATCGAACTCCTATCATTCATTTCTTTTTATATCTCTCTTTATTTATTTCTTTATTTTGCGTCCAAATTCCTTTAATTAATTACATCTTTTTATTTTGCATTCATACATTTTTCTATTCTTCATTCACATTTGCATTCATTCTTTCTTTCGCTCATTTAGTATCTTATACCTTCTTTTCGTCTTCTTTTTCTTTCGCTGTTTTTTTTTTTTTTTTTAATAATTCCATCTTTCCCATTCATGTGCCTGAACCATACATATTTCACACCTCTGTCCAACAATTGCTATTCAAAGTGGCTTTAAACTTTGATTTGTTTTATTTTATTAACATTTTCTTTTCTTGTAGTTTGATATTTCGTTCTACTTTCAAACTTTGTTGTTTTATTTTTTAATTATTTTTTTTTTTCATTTGGATCAATCTTTTTATTATTTTGTCGATTCTTTCATAATCAAGTGATCTTGTTTTATAACTTTCTTTAAGTGAACAGGTTCATCTGTTTTTTAAAACTTCAATTTCTTCTTTATTGATATATTCCTCGCGCTTCTTTAATTTAGACTTCACACTTTGATATTTTCTCTTAAACTTTTAATATTTACTCATTTATATATATATATATATATATATATATATATATATATATATATATATATATATATATCACTATTAGCATATATATATATATATATATATATATATATATATATATATATATATATATATATATATATATATATATATATATATGGATACGGGGTTGGTATAGAAAGAATAAAATTCTGATAACTAAAATGACTATTTTTTTTAAAAATGCTCAGTATAAAGTAGACCAAATAATATTTATTAAAAATTATAACATAAGCATTTTACAACATCACTACAAAAGTAGCCATTTAGTTTCAACACTTCTGGTGTATTAAAAAGTGATGGTGTCAATTGCGAAAAAACACAAAAATAAGACTATTAAGAGCTGAATCAGACCGGGAAAGAGTAATATTAAGAAGAGGAAACCGTAAGGTGGAAACCAAGATAGCGGATTTAATTATATATATATATATATATATATATATATATATATATATTGACTTTCGCACACATCACGTTAAACACCGCTTCCCGTATGATCCCGGAATTTAAACATCGACCCTAGTCAGTACCTAGACAGGCGATTGTATGGGAATACCAGACGATGTAAGCATTGATGTGCGGTTGGTGTAATGGATTATGGCTTGGACTTGTTAATCGGAGAACTAAATTCCAATTCTAGTTAGGTTCTTTAAATTAACTTTTACGCAAATAACCATGTGAAAGGTATGAATGCATGTCTTCTCTCCCATCTATGGGTTAATTAGTAGGACTTGTATCACAAAATCATTATTTTCCCCAACTAAAACAAATAAAATATTTTGCAATATAAAAAATATATTCTGGCTTTAAATAACCTGCAAATGGTTAATCAACCATATAAAACGAATCAATCCATCAATCATACTGTCTTCTTTTATATATATATATATATATATATATATATATATATATATATGTGTGTGTGTGTGTGTGTGTGTGTGTGTGTGTGTGGCTCGGATTGAGGAATCGGAGAGCCGATTTGGGAATTCCAATCGAATACATTACATTCACTTACGTGCTAATACCCTTGGGAAAGGTATTAATCCTCTTCTTCTCCCTCCAGCTTTGGGTAAATAGCAAGACAGACCGGGTAGCCTTGGATGGCAACTGGTCTAGGAGAAGGTCAGCTCTGAATTCAAAACCTGCAGATGGCCATTTGGGGACCTTGTGGCACGTAGTGCATCAGGTCTCTGTCTCTTTAATCAAATCATATGTTTTAGTGTCTGGACTATCAGTTCCTAGGAACTGAGCTGCTTGACCCTCATACGTCGAATATTGTGTGTGTGTGTAACTACACAA